TATTACTCGCGAGGTCCCCTGAGTTTGGCTGGGGGCACTGCCGGAAATGGCGGGCAATTGACATTTTAGTTTCATTTCCACACTGTCTGATTTAGAACTTTGGAGCACAGGCATCTGAGAATGCTTGGGATGTACTTGAACTAGCCACGTCCCTATTCCCCTCCGTAACTGTGGGACTTCAAACGTATACATATTTAAGTTTATGTGGCAGTGTGGCACAAGTTTGAGGATTGCTATCGCTCGCTCGGTCCCTTTGTCCCAGACGTTTAGTCGAATGGATGAAACTCATCGTCATCATCATCATCGACAGCATGACGTTAGAGTTCAACATTGATCCCTCACTGCCGTACAACTATGAGTTATATGAAAAAAGTATTTGAAGAAATGAATAAAAGTGAGAAAATAGAGGTACCTATATTTCTAAATACACGCAACCTGCATAGAAACCAGGTCAGATGGAATTCCACACGCCAGCGGCTCGACGCACAATGCATTTTTCTGCAAAACCCCTGCGGGTGAAAAGAAAACTTTAACGCCGAATGTTGCACTTCTTTGCATATATGCTCACTAAATACACCCTGCATAGAAACCAGGTCAGATGGAATTCCACACGCCAGCGGCTCGACGCACAATGCATTTTTCTGCAAAACCCCTGCGTGCGGGAAGAAAACTTTAACGCCGAATGTTGCACTTCTTTGCATATATGCTCATTCTAAAAATCCCCTCCTCTGTCGTCATTTCTTTGATTTGTTTCAATCGATCTCTTCTGAAAATTATTGGCGCACATTCGGCTTTGAACTTCGTCTGCTGTGGCTTCGGAAGTGGCTGTCGTTGAGAAGTTTGTGAGTGTATCGTTTTCACCCTTCACGGCATTTGAGAAGACCTTGAATGAGTACATGAAGGATAACTTTGTGGTATTTGTGCGTTCATCCAGTAATCGAAGCACCAACGCTATTTTGCGTTACGAATGTGTGTACTGCAAATGCAGCAGGCGCCCTCCAAGACCAACGGAAAGCCGTGGATCCGAAGAAGCTAGTAAACCGAGCGTGTTTTTTAATAAAAAAGTACGCGAAGCACCAGCTGTCCAGTGCGGTTTTGTCTACGGAGGCAAAGGGACCAACTGGCGGTGATCCCTTATTTTCTGGAACACAACCACAAACTGTCAGTTTCTGTGCGATCGGCTTCCAGTCAATCAACGCCTAACCAAAGACGAGTTAGGCACATGCAATGCCCTGCTGAAATATGGAACGCCGTCATCTGAGGTGCAACAGTTTGTGGCGGATGAATTCGGAAGGATTCTTACCACTAAGGATATAAAAAACTACCGCCGGAAGTGTCGACCGGCTATGTTGAGTAGGTGTCGCATGGTTGGGTTTTAGTGTAGCAGATGATATGCCTTCGGTCCTGGCAAAACTTCGGGAGACCGGATGCGTCCTTGTGTGTCAGGGAGAGGGAGGACACTATAGCCACATATGTTTCTCCCGATGGCAGCAGATAACTTTATTCCGACGCTTTCTAGATGTAGAGAATGTAGACGGGACGCATGCAACAAACCGTCTTGTGTAAGTTTTTTAAAGCATCTAATATTCGGCATTTAGATATAAATTATACACAGTCTTGATAACGGACGGCATGGGAACCGGGCGTCCGGTATATATGCGTTCGTAGAGAGCGAGCAGTTTACTGCCATGCGTAAACTGTTCGGCTTATTCAAAGGAATGATGGATGAAGCCTACCCGGTCGGGACCTTTGTAATGGACAAGTTGGCGACTCAATGCGTGCGGCAAGAGTCGTTTTCGGCCGTGACATTATGCCTTGCTACTTTTATGTCCACAAAACCATCAGGAAGCACGTATTTATCATTTATTATCCACGTATTTTTGGTCATGAACACATTCTGCGAACAGCCTGCACATATTTTACCGCATGGCTCTCCTAGACAATGCTGTACTGTTGGTTTTATGTTCATCATATTACAAGCAAACACATTCCGACAAGAATTTCAGCTACTATGCCGAACCGTTCCCCCCTTTCTCTGCTATCTTACGGCTCGGTGGTTATACTTCATTCGAAAATGGGCCATACACTCACATTCCGGAATGTTTCATTTCGGTAATGTAACCTACAACCGAGTTGAGAATGCAAACGGGCGCCTTGGAGGTCGGGTGCACCACTCAGACACGTTGGAGCATGCCATTTAAAATGTGTTTCGGCACGCCAAGTGGCTCATGCGGGAGTTTGAGATGTATACGAGGTACCACTGCGACAGGCGGCAAATCTTGGAGGATGACGCCTACGTTCTAAACGTAGTCTGTCGAATGACAACATATGCATGCTCTCTCCTTTTGAGGCACTTGGGTGCGCGACCGCCGCGGCTGCCGCGGCTGCCGCGGCTGCCGTATGAGTGTCGGAACAAACGAGGTGAGGTCGAGCTACGTAAACTAACTTATGGTTTGTGGTGCAAACACCCAGGTGCTGCCAGACTGTCAACACCTGTCCTGGAGAATGCATATGCCCATTCTATCAGGCGATGTGGCTCTCCGGCGTACACCTGTTCACTGTATTTCGAGATCAGTTCGTTCCGAGCAGTAAGAACTATTCCTCATTCCTTAGCTTGCCTTCCAATCCACCAACGCTGGCTGTCAAATTGCAACCTACCGGGAAAAGGTGTACCCCTTACACTTGTTCCCAAACCATCCCCGACAGTTTTCGACGGTCTTCGTAAACAACTGAATCGGGTGATGGATAAGCTTCAGAGGCTGGAACCCAGGAGGCCCACCGCCATATTTAAGCGGTTGATCGTTCAGGGACAAATCCTGCTGCGTCAAGCCTCAAAGTCTGCAACCGACGATCAGCCGTTGGTGGTCGAGGATACTGCGCCTCAACCCAGATGGGGGTCTGGAAACGCTGACTTGGGGTTCTGTGTGCTCTGTGACCGGCCTACT